AGTAATGCTATGTAGTTTTGACGTTTGAATATGCGGTTCGTAGATAAATCCGTAATAAACGCTGTATTTCGATCCAATAATCTGAGGGTCGGATCATGATAAGTGAATCCTTTGGTGGATAGAACGGCAGAGTTGCGTGGCGACCATACATCAACTGAAAAGGTGTGAACGTGATGGATGCATGTTGCCTAGTATTGTACGCAAATATGATAGCTGGTAAATCGCGATTTTCTCCACGAGTTTGATTCGAAGAAGTTAAGTGTGATGCAGAATTTGTTGTAGAAACACGTTGTACTGTTAGATTATTCGGTGAAGAATGTTGCACAGGAACAACAGCCAAATCTCCAAAAGCTACAATAATTGATTCTACTGGAGAGAATGATTGTTGGTGTTGTTGTTGTAATGGAACGTTGGGGTGGTGGTGTTGAAACAGATAAAACTGGTAGTGGAGGAATATTTCATAGGGAACCTACGACAGTTGAAGATCAATGTATTGGACGCAAGTGTGAAGTGGTGAACGAGGGAAGTTCTGTAACACTCGGCTGCTGATACACAACCTCGTTATCATCCAATTCCATATCGCTGATCGAATTTGGCTGATGTTGTTGAGCGAAGTGTGGTTGGACACCGGTGTCTAATGAATCTTTGTTCCAAATCAACATTGAAACCACCATAATGTAGGCATATGGAGTCGGAATAAAAAATCATTTTTGATAGAGCCTTACAGATTTGGTTGAAACTGTCCATAACGAGCTTGTATATCTATTACTTGATTAATTCGCTTGAACGAGTAATTATCATTCCTTTGTTGTTGAAATAATCTAGTGTGATGTCGCACAAAGTATTTAGCGTTGTTATTAACGCTGTTAAGATTGAGAAATAAAGATATATAACATATTAGCTAGATTGCTTTAGTTTTAGTAATTTCACAGTGAATGCAGTGAACATTTGGATCAAAAGGAAAAAAAATTTCAAACTTAAAAGCAATATCTATAGTATATCTCATATATCAACGTCATATCGTTCTTTTCCGTTCCCTTCTTCTATTTTAGGAAAAAATCTCTGGTTCACTCTCTATCATTTCTTACTTTTCTTTTTCCGTTTCTGTGAATAAATCTATCGAATATAGTTTGTAGAGGACACTTCGAAGTATATGTCCTGAAGTTTTTTCGGTTTACTGACATTATTTGGCTGAGAAGAAATTAATCACTTAAAAAAATATTGTTAAATTTTTGAACAAGGGATTATTATTAAAAGAATTCCCGTCCATGCTTCATTCATCATAAAAACTTGGTTCTTGCCTACATCGATGGAGAAATGTGTGTAGAATATATATTACGAGAAAATATGCAAGAATTTTTGTTCTTTCCTTCCTGTTATTGGCTAATTAGTACTAATTAACGTTAATTTAGCCTACTGTACTAGCATAAAGTCTTATTTGTAAAATAGTAACGCAGCAAAAAGATTCAAGCAATACCTCATCTGACAGAGAATTTCACGGGCTACAACATGCTCTACCTTAACCATTTTAGAATTCGTTTTTGGTCGCTCGGTAAGTCTGGTAAGTCGAGAATTTAACAATATCATTTTAAGTAATTAATTTTTTTCTCAGCCAAATAATTTCAGTAACCCGAAAAACTTCCGAACATACACTTCGAAGTGTCCTCTACAAACCAGGAAGGCTTGACGAAAAAATTCCAGACTTGAAAATATCGTTGGTTTTTGCCTCAGTGAAGATATTTTCACCCCACCTTACGGCTAGTTTCGCTCGAAGCAAGCATTTTGAAGCAAAACTTTGGGTACAAAAGTTTCAGAGTCGAATTCAGCAGTCCCTCACGAGAGCTCTTTTTAAAGTTTCCTGTTTTTGGTTTTTAAACCAAAAACAGAAAATTTTAAAAAGAGCTTAATTAATTTTACAATTTCATATTTTTCAATTTAAAAAGCAAAAAAAGAAAATTTTAAAAAAAGCTCTCGTGAGGGACTATGGAATTCGATATACCAGTCAATGTTTTCTATCGACCTACGCCAGAATCAACTCCTCATATCAAAAGCTGAAGTTTTATTGAAATTTTAAAAAAAGGGCAGAAAACCCGAAGAAACTTCAAAACTTTTTTATCAAAAACTAAAAAGCCGGGAACTGAAAGCTTTGTTGAGACGTATACTCCGAAGTGTTCCCTACAAACTGGTAAAAAAAACGGGTGGGGGGACCTCCACCCCTCCAACACAGACAAGGAAAAAGAGAAAGTAGCCAAACGCATCTCTGTTTGGATTACTTCGGTTTACGCTAATTTTTGAGAACTGACTTAAACTTTTAAAATAAGAAAAATATTAAAAATTAAAATTTTTATTTCTTGAAAAAAGTTTTCTGTTGTGACAAACCGTAACTGTTACAAGAGACGCTTAAAGTCTCAAACTTATGTTTGTAAAATCCGCATAACAAAATTTAAGCCTAACTTAGCTGATTCTAAACTTAAAAGTTGCGGTATAAAAAAGTGTTTTACATCCATTCATTACCTCAGAATCGAAAGGAATGAACTGTAAACCGAATTTTAGAAATGAATATCTTCTCAAGTTTAAATCCAGACTTTTCGCCTCTCTAGGTTAGTTTTTCTTACGGATTTTATTTGATAGTATTACAAAAATTAAACATTTGAAGTTGTAGCAAAATTAGACTGTTGATCTATTTCCAACGGTTCTTCCCATCTAAATAAAGTTTATGGAAAAGAAAACTTACTATGTTTATTTGTCTGGCTTATTATGGATGCAATGGAGAACCATATCTATAATCATGATATTCAAACATCTGACAGTTAACTAACTTATCTTGATGAGTAATGACTTATTCAAGAAATTTTCGCTAGTTATTTTTGATTTAGTGCTTCTCTATACTAAATCATCTATAAATTTCTTCGACCCAATGTCACATCCGACGTGGATACATCTTATCTACAACGTATTATTATTGATTTATTAAACGCTATTAATGTTCATCCGAGAAATGTACTTGTATGTTTATTTTGCTGTAGAAGAAATGTTTTTTGAATATTGCTATATTTAATATTTTAAGACAACTCGCAATGGAATATTAACGATTTCGAAATTACACTTGCCAAGCGACATTGTACGTTAAGATTCATTTCAATGATGTGTTAGTTTTATATTCGCATCATTTATTTTCAGATGTTTGTATTTGAAAAAATTGTCAATGTTCAGCTAAAATTACTCAAATTACATCAGTATAAAAATGCAAATTATGATACAACAGTATGCACAACAGTAATACTGTTGTATAGTATAATTGACTTGTTGAATTATATCTCTTGTGGTGTTGATCATGAAGAAAGATTCACAGTTGGAAATTTGGGCACTATTGAAGTAAATCGACAAAAAGTTATTATTTCTTTTCTTTTTCTTCATATGTTACTCAATTGAACTTTGTGGATGTTGGAATCTTACAGTGGTATAATTTAAGACTTCAACTATGTTAGAACTACAGAATGTTTGACTTACAGAATTTTAGAATCATAGAAATTCAAAATTCTATGTTCGTAGAATTGTAAAATTCTGTAATGCAACGGTATTTTACAAACATAAGTTTGAGACTTTAAGCGTCTCTTGTAACAGTTACGGTTTGTCACAACAGAAAACTTTTTTCAAGAAATAAAAATTTTAATTTTTAATATTTTTCTTATTTTAAAAGTTTAAGTCAGTTCTCAAAAATTAGCGTAAACCGAAGTAATCCAAACAGAGATGCGTTTGGCTACTTTCTCTTTTTCCTGGTCTGTGTTGGAGGGGTGGGGGTCCCCCCACCCGTTTTTTTTACCAGTTTGTAGGGAACACTTCGGAGTATACGTGATTTATTTTTTCAACTTCGTTTTTTTTAAATAGTTTTCTTTGAATGGTTACATATATCCGGATCGAGCGATGTATCCCAATTGGGGTATAAAAATGTATTCCAATCGGGATATTTGCTGTTTCGTATATCCAATCGGAATATAGTTTCCTTACAGTAGAGCTATAGTTTAAAACCGCGCAAAACTAGTTAATATGATGCTTGTAGTGCGAAGGTGATATAAAACATAACATATCAATCGCCAGACCTTGAGCCATGAAAACGCTTCAGTATTTTTAATACTTTAAACTTCTGAAAGCAATTTACGTATCCGCAATCTTGTTTTGTAAACCATATTGTTTACTTCGCTACGCAGACGACGAATCACGGTGGACGCGCGTGACTTTAACTGAACATTTCACTGGATGTCGCTGCCTGATGTATGTTCAGAGCAAGAGAAAATGTAAAGGTACTTCGAGAAAGTGTTAAAATAGTTGATAAAAAAAGTAAAATATCTTGATCGGGATATAGAATATGAACCTTGAGAATTATTTAAAAATAGGTTGCTGACCGGAAAGAAGACTTGGTCACAAGGAAGAAAGAATCTAATGCAGTGTTTAACGCTCTTTTCGATAGTATGGTCAAAACTTTTCGCAAACAGCGTCAGGTTTTTGCTAATGAATTTTACTAAAAAAAGATCGAATTTATATCGTGATTGGGATATATGTGTTTTGGCTATATCCTGATCGGAATATATTTTGATTCAAAACGCAATATATAACCGAACATGATATAGAGCCTGAGACTCTGCTGTATTGTGTCTAGGGATGTTCGGTTCTCGGTTCTAGAACCGAGAATCGCTGTTCTGAGACCGAACCACGGTTCTGGTTCTTGATTCAGAACTGAAACGCCAGAAACCGCGGCTTCGGTTCTCGGTTCTCAGCTTAGAACCTGAAAATAGTTTTCAGGTAATTCAACGAAATAGAGTTCATTTTAAGGATTCTTTTAAATGCTGACAGGCAAATGTATCTCTTTGTAGCTTTGACAATAGTGTGTTTTCATTTTGTTAAGAGAAAGGCAAGTCAAAAGGTCTCGATTCCGAAAAAAGGAACCGTCTAAGAAACGGCAATTCTGGTTCTTCACGAGACCCGAACATCTTTAATTGTGTCTAACAATAAACTCTCAGTAGTGTCCATTCAACGCATGCTCTATCAAATGAATTGTACTCGTGCTGTAAAAATCTGTAACCGTTTTTCCATAACTCAGCAAACATCTGTTGATGTAACAGGGCATGATAAATGTCTCGATGCCACCAGTGTGATTCGAATGCTATCTGATAGGGCAGATTTACTTTATTATTTGTAAATAAATCGACGAATACAGAATATTCTCCTCCTTCAATATCCATTTTCAGCACATGGACGACAGTATGATTATTTTCTCTTAAGATTTGTCTCAAACTTTTATATAATAGTTCGTCTTCTGGTTTTACCGTCATATTTGAAGGTTTTCTTGGCTGATTCGCATATGGATACAAATATTCTTGTAGTCTCGATGCCTCTCCCAAACAAACTTTATCGAAGTACAAACGATGGATAGGATTTTTTGGTTGCGAACTTGTACAGTCAAATGTATACATTTGGCATTGTGTTTGTTTTAAAACTGATTCCTCGAAATCAAAAGATCCACCCGAGCCTAAACTGTAGATAATACAATTATTAGTTTCTGGAGATAGCTTGTCCAAACCACATAGAAATTTTCCAGTATCTCGTGTAGTGCCATATCGTTTCAAGCTTCCGTTATATGAGCAAGGTAGAGCATATGATTCTGGATAGGCTAGTTTGACCACAGACTCCCCTGCAGTTTTAGGTGACAAAGCATATTCCAATAATACATTATACGTCCGTTGCAATTCATTTTGTTTCCATTTGTGCCAGATTAATTCCAGGTTATACACAATCGTTTGATTCATGTCAGACAAAAATGGATTCTCTATACACCAGCGAAGATTAGAGTGTGATTCAAATATGAGAACATTTAGATAGGGACTCAAACTAATAGGAGTAGGCTAACATACCTACTAAATTGAGAAGAAAGGAAGAAAGTCCAAGCACATTTTCATGTTTTTCTCAACGATGTCTTCCATACTTATGTGTTTGCTGTACTAAAAAACAAAATCATGATCAGAATCAGTTAGGTATGAGATCTCGGTGGAATATATACGAGAAACATTTAAACAAGCACACCTCAGCTAGATGGCGTCTACACCTCAGCATTTGTCATGATCAAAACATAGAGACCATGCTGCCTTCAAGAGATGATTCTGTAGTTGATGACTAAAACCTGGAGATAGCAGGGTACGAAGTAAGCCAGTCGGATCAAAATAAACAACTTTAGTATTTGATTGTATTCCAGTGATTTTCGACTCTGTCAGATATAAATATAAGCAGATTATCAACACTAAAACAGTGACCAATGTATAATTACGACCTTGTCTAAATGTATATTTGATATTAAACATCTAAATACGAATATATCGAGTTACTTTTAAGTTTTCGAGTACCCGAGGAGGTAGTGCTGTTAAGTTCTGCATTTCAAGTTAGAATTCATGTGTGAATCGAGTGACTCCTAGAAATTTCGATATGTAACGCTGCTGACGAAGACGTAGGGTGTATGCTTGTGATAATGTGAAGCGTTTTTATCAAAAGAAGGGTTTGTATGAGCTTTCGATGGTGAGGAATCCAGTCTGCACGGCGATAATATCATAGGAATTCAAGCGCTCTTAACAATGCATCTCTCAGTGTAAGTATTCCACCTTTCTCTTCTACTGATAGTCTTTGCACATTTTTCAATTTCCGATGTTGCTTTTACGATTTTTCACTAATGCAAAAAAATAGCACGGGTTCCTACAGGAATCGAGCCTGCGACAGCACATTTGGTTGCCAGATGCTCTGAACAGTCAACGTTACAGGAAAAGTAGTGCACAGAAAAGCAATGCCATAGCAAAAACTGTTGTTCTTTTGGTGTGGAATGTCATATAACTGTATACATTAAATTAGCGTGAGTTCGAAGCAAACAATAGTGAAGCTGTTTTTCTCAAACGTATGACTTTCTTACTCGAGAAAGCTATGGCCTGGAGCTTCTTTTCTCATGCAAAAATTATTTTTGTGTTGGCTTCATGCGCTTGAGTTTTTTGGAGTATGCGCATATCTTAGACTTCCTCTTTCTTGTACCTACTTTGATCAATCAGAGTCCCGAACTATGTTATTCTCTTTCGACGCGATATTCAGACTGTATATACAACAGACATGTTCTATATGACGATGTCTTCATACGCTTATTTAAACAAAACCATCAAAAAACGATGCAGTGCAAACATTTCTTGGTCTTTAACGTCGTATGAAGATCATTTCTATTGGCGAAAGCTAAGCGTTTTGCAATGATATAAAAAAACAATTTTCATGGTTAACATCTTAAATGAGTAATCAGCAGTTTGAGGCAGAGAGTGAGAGTTCAGTGATACAGATATTGTCCACTTGTTTTGCTACGAAGCCCACTGTATTTTTAGATTCGATCTCGACTTCGAGCTATATCACATGTTTCTTTTTCGCTCTGACCAAACATACAGTGACAAGGATGCAAACAGAGATGATCTATTTTCCCGGATTAATCAGTACCCGACACAAAGTTGAACTTAATTACATCATGTTCTCGAAAGAAAGTCCGAGTAAAATAACAAATAATCAAACGTAAAAGAACAGACCGAAAACATTACAAACTAAGGAAAAAATATACATGAATTTCTTGGTAAGCACTTAAGTTTCTTACAATGATTCTCAATGCATGCACATATCTTAAAAATTTTGAATAATCAGGAACTTTATGCACTTGAGTAAAAAGCTTTTCTACGGAAATAGCTTGTGATGTTTTCGAGTGAACGACTTATTATTAAAGACTTTTAACGCGTTAATTTAATACCTTTTTCTCAATGGAACGGGTAACAAATTTGTTTTGATCTCGTTAAAACCTGTTAATTTTTAAGCTTTCTTTCAGACGCATTAGAACTGTTACTGAATGATAAAATTATCTCATTCCTCTCTATATCTGTTCATCTGCATTATACATGTTTTATGCTCATCGCATAGCATGACACGTTCCTATTTCGTGGAAATTCAAAATGTACAAGTATAAAGTAAAATTTCATGGAAAACATTTTCGCTTACAAGGGAAGACCCCCGAGTGTCAAATCGCTTTTGACGTAAAACTTAGTGGACAATGGGTAACCGAGCATGCTGATTCCGAATATATCGATGGTTTTTGTCAATGTGTCTTTGGAGACCCCGGTTTTTGAAAAACTGGGTTTTCACAATGAAAAACGTTTTTGATCGGCCGTAGTATTAAGTTTTGACCCTTTAAAAACTGTTCAAAATCGTTCCAAAACCTTAAAAAATAGTTTTGCGTAGGTTTTAGAGCATGCGCTTTCATTTGTACGGATCAAAAAGAATTTTTGATCAATAAAACTTTTCATTGCAAAAACCCAGTTTTTCAAAAACCGGGGTATTCAAAGACGCATTGGCAAAAACCATCGTCATATTCGGAATCAGTAACTCACCCAACACTTCGGTTAGTTAACGTGACATGAGGTCAGGAAATTCAAATAAATTTGTATACTTTAGCCACTATTAGCTCAGGTAAGGTTGGAATGAATTGGAATGAATTTTCTCACGTTATCTAATACTGTCAGGTAGTGTTAGTTCTAAATTCCTCTCACAGGAGATTAGAGCTGCCCCGAGTTCGTTTCTCCTGAATTTACCACTGTATTCCTGTTTTGGAGCTGGAAAATGAGAATATTTAGAATAACTTGAATCACTTACCCCTGAGTTGTGCTGATTATGAAAGATTATATTTTAGTATTTTATTAAAATGGAGTGAAGAAGAAGATTACAAACACAGACTAGCACAACGTAAATTGATGTTAACTATACGACACTTCTGTACCAATTGAATAGAAAATAAATATATATTCTTATATAGTTATCTGGCCTCTTTATAATGTGTTTAGTATAAGCATATAGACAAAGAAAAGAGTAAACTTTACGTCTGTTTAGCTGATTGATGTACAATAACAAATAAATAAAAATGACTACATAGAAAAAGGAGAGAATGTGTACATATAATGGAAAGAAAATGTAGTCTGTATATATAAATGAACAAAGAAAGAGGTACATATGGAATAGGGCAGCATGTCTAGAGATAGCTAGGCATGACAGGTAGATTAGGTAAGGTAAGGCAAATCAAGAGAGGTGAGTCTCGCTCAACTGGTCTTTGAAACACTCATATCCTCATTTCTTAATAAAATATTTTTAATCCAGAGATGTCCAAGTATCCTTATCTAGATAATGCAGCGCCTAGCAGATAACGATGGCATGAGAGTGAGTCACGATCGTTACCTGACCTGCACTACTATTCATTTCGAAATACAAGGTACTCAGTTGTTTTCTGAATAACAATTGTTTAAAAGTGAGAAAAACATGAGGAAGTTGAATTTCCCAATCTTACTTCACCTTGCCTAAGCTAATAGTGGTAGTTAAGATGAATTTTCTAACCTTACCGCATCTAACCTAACGTGGTCTACTAGATGTACAGATACAGATATATAACCAGTGATACATATACATATATAAACGATTAACATGGCCTTTCCGCACTATATCCTAAAACTTAGTCCGCTTACTTAACTATACCTAACCCATAGATTTGAAAAGAAAATTTTATCGAAAAAAATTTATTTTTACAGCGAAACTTTTCAGTTTTCAGGAAGGAAATAGGAACGTGCCATGTACCCGCTCATCTTAACAAGTTGTTGTATATTGCAATTTATATGTCTAAATCTACTCAAAATATTTGTTTGCACTGGGATGTGTTTATCTCATCTCTCACCGTCATCTGAATGTATATGTAATAACAGAAATTAAGGAATCAAAATGCTGTTGTTTATTATACACTAAATCTACTTGGAGCCAATCGTCAACTTCAAACGTAATAACTAAGTATCTTTCTCTTTTGTTATATTATACATGTGCTCATGTTTGGAAGATTCGTTCGAGCGTGATAATTGTTTTATCTTTTTCTGTACTTTTTATACCTTATCTATGCTTACCTGTCGCAATACTTCAATAGTGGTAAAAAAAACCACACTTCATTGACTATTAGAACATGTATGACACTACAATATCTGCTTCTTCTTTGTCTTTGTTATTACCGAAACTATGACTCGTCCTTTGCATATATGCGTGAGTTAGTAAAGAGCAAAGGCAATGGAAACTTTTTAGACTTTGTGACTGGTAAAAAACTTATGAATAGCACAAAAATAAGTAGGATAACTTTTCTGTGACTTGAATAGCAATAAGCTCCATCACGATAAAAGACTGTTTTCATTGTTGTTATCCATCTTCATTAAAACAGTTCAGCATCGATCGACTTAGTTAGGGTTTACGATAAGCGCAATGAAAACAAGCAGGAATCCTTTCCTGACCGTGTAACTTCGGGTTCCGGACCGATGCACACCAACAATGTTGCGCACGAGGAAACTTCCGTATGGAATCATGCGCACGGGCATCTTATGCACGACGAATATTCTGCACCGGAGTCTTACGCACCAGGCTGTTACGTACCGACGCTTGCGCACGTATCACAAAATGCGACAGAAAATCGAACTGCTGATGTTCTGTAATCCGAGCGTTCTTCTGAGGGTAACCATAAGTAGCTCGATTACAGTACAGAGACATGTTACTAGGTGCGAGTTTAGTTTTCATTAGTAGAAATCGTGGAAAAGCACAAGTCCGACATGGTTAAAACTGGAAAAAGTCCAAAATTTGCGCGCTCGCTCCACTCATGGAAGGCATTTTCATAAAATTACAGTTGCGTCAGTAATCAATTTCACCAAAAAATCTTGCCTTCGGAGCAATAAATAAGAGCCAGTTTTTAGGAAATAATATCGCTTATCTCGGTAACAGCAAAGAGCTGAGCAGAGATATTTTTGAATTAGTCATGTCCTTATGTGTGTAAGTAACTTGCAGAAAAGATTTTTCTTCAACTCGCCTGCAAGAAAAATCCGAGCCAAATCTATTTCAATTCGATATGTAATTTATTTAACGGTAAACGATTCTCATTAGCGTTAGTGTTGTATTCATAAGGAGTCGAAACAGACTTGGCTCGAATTGTTTTTTGCAGTCGAGGGGAAGAAAAATCTTTTTTGGAAGTTACTTATCAATCTTGAGCAGATCTTCTCAAGATATTTCAAGAATTCTGAGGTGATTAATTTAATACACAATAGTCAGAATCTTCGTTAACACATTTGATAATTTTCACAAGAAAACTTTAAAGTTTATTTTCTACTTTATATTATCATTTTTGTCGACTGTATCCTTATGGTGGAAGCTCTACAGCGCTCTGCGTATAGTACCAGAGCTGTCGAAGGTGTATGAGCAAGCATGCGTGCAAACACAATATTTGAATTTCACTTTCAAAATTTTCAGTGTTCTGTATTACAAGTATTTATTCTTATATATGCAAGAACAATGTCAAACAAAATGGTGATTGAAAGAATAACATATTTATTTGTCTGCTCTATGGATCAAAAGAATTTTAGCAGATGTCTCAAGGGGGAAAAACCTCACTTTAAGTGCCTTTAAGTGTGTGCACCTTCGAGTTAAGTGTCACTTAAAGTGACTAAGTGACACTTAAAGTAGGGATCCTATAGGATGAGTGAATAAATGACTGTGCTCCTCGTGTGCCGACATATAGACTATTAAGTATCTTCTGTTCTTTTACTTTGAATCGAGCGGCCATCTTTTTTCCGTTTCTCGTGCATAGTTACACTTTCTTATCGACGTTCTTGGAAGTTTCTTTTCGTTTCTTTTCGTTTCAGAGAAGAATCTTTACGTTTATGTTGATATAAATCAGGCAAGATTCTTGAACCAGAATGGAAAAAAAGCCAACCAGATGTAGTTTAAAAACGAAGAGGCCGGGGCGCATTCAAATATTACCAAAGCAGTTTTGCATAAACTCTCCTGTCTTTTAGAAAAAAACCACAACAGGGATAGAAGCATCGCAAGAGGGCGCATGTCTCGCATTGAGAGAGACAGTCTCTCATTTTCATAACCCGATCCTCATTAAGATTTTCAGAAGATAAATACTGTGTCTACAGCGTTTCTTCCTGAACAAATCACAACACAAAAAGTAGCAGGAAAAAAGTTCATGAATGTAAATATTGGCTTAGGCTTTTTTATCATCCCAAAGAAAAAACTTATACGAGAATATGAAAATCAAATAATAGTATTTTGTAATATATTTTTGCTAATAATGAACAGCCGAGACAGTATCTTTTTATTTCGGCACTCTCATAAAAAGTACAGATAAACCTTTCTTTTACGGGATCCCCATTGAGTCGACCTCTTTCATCGATTGCAGTCAGTTTGTCGTCTTTTTCCTTACTATACTCAGATATAATTTACTTCTTGTGATTATGCTTTGAATGGACTCACTTAGAAGTCACTGTGAGCATAGAATGATCACAAATGAAATGCATCTAAATTTTTCTCATAGGTGATATTTGCTTGGGATAGCTCCTGTGAGTTGTTTGCTAGCTGCATCAGCGCGCGCAAATTTACACTGCCAATACTGAAGTCAAGTATGACATGTGTGTCTTTACTTTGCCACTGATTCGCTGTAAATTGCTGGTGAGCGGCAAGTTTTTGTGCACGATTTTGTACTCGAATAGCTCGATATCACTTTCCTCTTTCGTTTGTACCACGGGTATCTTCCTGCGCGACCCACCGGATGCAACTGTGGCGTCAAAATCGACGGGACGATAGCCGGATACTCATCGATGCGTAGTATAAGCTCGAAAATTGAGATCGTGGTCATCGTCACCCAACCAGTAATGTTCTTCGTCTAAATAGCCCAACTGACGTGTTCGAGAAGCGTGTGAAAGTAACGGACCACGATTACTTGTATCGCGCACATAGAATGTGCAGCGTTCACTGAGTGAGATTGAAAGTGCTCTATCACTATCTTCACGGCATCTTCCTACGAAGGAATGCCCACTTAAGCTCCATGCCGTGTAGCCACAGCGAGCAGAGATCGGAAAGACATCCGAATAGATACGGGCTGGTTCAGCTAGTAACACATTCCTTCCTGGTACACGCATGATATGATCATCTTGCACAAGAATAAAATAAATCGAAGTAGGATGTGAAGCTCGCATTCCTGTGTTGTTGGCACTCGCACTGAGACTCGAAGTGTCAAACGAAAACTAGTAAAATTAAAAATCAAATTGTACTCTCCATATCCGAGCACAATTGAAACAACATTAAACAGAACAATAAGAGTGAATCAAACTTACATCAGATAGATTATCAATGTAGGGCTATTTATAATTGTAAAACAAGAGCTAATATAAAACAACGACCAAAGTAACACCAAAAAATAACCAGCAAAAACGATTTTAAATCAAAAATAGGATCACATAAAAAACAACCATAAATGTAAATTTAACCCAACAGCTGCATTTATCATTGATAATGAAAAACATACGTAGAAAATAAAAAGAAAAGAAGCAATCTATTCAAGGATCACTAAATCAATTAATCAAGATATAGAACTAAATTGAACCTGGTATTCAAAATCAGATTTAGAATCGAAGTCGATAGAACAGTAATATGTAAAAACAACCAAAAATTCTTTCTTACTACGATATAAGACTGACATCGCAGTGCTGACGAAGAAGAAAGCGATAATTAGTTGTTATCTTCTTACATATATATATAGTCTAATTAATTATTTTTCTTCACTTTTATTCTACTTTTGTCAGATGAAGACGTCTTTGAAACGTAACAATAAAAATAATAAGAATATAAAGAGTAAGAATATAAAAAATAACATAAATCAAGATCTTTGCATACAAATAAAATAATATTGTTTAGAGTCAAAGATCACATAAATAATGCACACACGAATCCAAAATGTTTTAGATAGGATGCAATTCTTTTTTCGTCAGTGAATAACCTTCTTTCTGGCAAAAACAAAACGTTTTAGAGCAGTTCGTTAGTCATCACTCCTGTTACGCCCGCTCCTACGATAATCTGAAAGTCCAAGTAAAGATGAGGGCGAGGCATTACGTGTTTGAAGCCGATGAAGCGTATTAAAATACAAGCAACAACAACTTTCGGACGCCTTGGACGAATGACCACTTTGGTAAAGTACAAAATTATATTGTAGTAGTCGGCGATGAGAAATCATTAAAAGTTTGTATAGAGCTCAATTTTTCATGTTATAACGGATCGAATTATTTTGCATTTAAATACAAACAAATCAACGTTGACAAAGATGCAGAGTTTGGTGATAAAACCAGTTATAATCCTATGACATGGTTTAAAATATCTTTTTATCTGGATGTGATTCGAAAAGGTTACACGATAATGAGCACCGATACAGATATTGCTTATTCAAGTAAAAATCTTTGGGATTCATACGAAAAGTATGTGAAAGATGTTGGCGCTGACATAGTATTTGCGAGTGAACACCCTATCAATACTGGAAACTTTTATAGTTTGTCGAATGAGCGTGTGATTGCTTTATTTGATGAATGGATTATGTCCGAAAGCAGATGGCCCAATGATAATGATCAAGAAGCACTGATTAAACCACATAATAAGAACTACATGCTTTGTGATACATAAGAAAGTTGTAACCAGGTTAAAAACACATCAATAAATTACACTAACAGCACATTATCTCGATCTAGAGAGAATAAAAGCAATATGGTGGCTGTCAGAAGTTACCGATCTTCGTTTAGCCGTTTTGGAAGTCATTGCTCACCTCCATCAGGTGTTAGAATGGATCCGTGTGCTGCTGATGTTCTTTTCATACATACAATCTACATGGTTGGTAAACAAAGAAAGGCAGATAAGCTGAATAAACCAGGATTTTGGATGTTGGATGAGCCTTGTCGAGAAACGAAGACAGTTATTAACGAAACAAGTCACAGTAAAGTTTTGTCGATATATCGGTGCGTTCTAAAAATTTTGGCTCTACCGGGAGCCGACGATAATTTCACGAAATGTAATGAAACACTGGCGTGGACTTGACGCATCATTGTAATCGAAGATATCGCAAATTTATGGATGAGAACGCTAGTGTGTAAATCTATGTTTTAATAGTTGTACTGAATCTGACGAAATCCTAAACAGCTCCTTGAAAAAAGATAATGCACTACAGGACGCTTTGAATTCATATAAGGACGAGCTAAGGATTAATTTGCTTTGATACATTGACAGTCACTAGGATATTTATACTCGCAATGACATGAAACCTTCTCACAGCAAAAGGTTGTTTCTTTTCGTAGAACCTTCGCCATCGTTTGAAAGAGAACTTTAAGCTATTTGTTGATGACGAAGTCATTGTGGATGTGATGCAATCATATCCTGCCGGTCACGCTTAAATGCACCCGCTGATCGTGCAGCATGCCGACTTATATCCTACAAGTTGCCGGTTTTATCGTATATATCACTTATACTCTTGCATAGGCAAATGCTGGGTGCCATGAACTGAATGTCCAAATCTGCTCCATCTTTCATTCGACTTCATATATACAAAACGTGCATTTTTACCTCTTATGGACTATTGCTGCGCAGTGTTTGACAGTAACTATCTAACACATTTCACCCAGCTAACTTCTGTGCACAAGTTAGCTGCTCGTATGATATTAGGTGACTTCGTTTCTGATAGTTCTCCTCTCATTGCCAAATTACAGTTACCAGATCTTGTCACAAGAAGAAAATTTCACAAAATCGGTTTCACAAAATTTCACAAAACCGATACCGGACGAAATGCGCTTTCACGTTTTTCTCTAGTAAGTCCAGTTACTACTTGAACATCTCTTCGAACATCTAATCGTGGCTTTGGCGAGTGCCTACATATAAACGTAAAACTACTAGCTCATCGCTCTTACCAAGAACGATAAAGGAATGGAATTAGTTACCGAGGGTGGTTATGGCCGCATTTAATGATCAAGCTTTTAAGCGTACATTATCGAAACATGTTTTTTCTTGAAGAAGTGTCTATTTTCCTTAATTAAGCCATATATGTTTTATGTTATATTCTTTTTCCTTTATTTTTGTTCGATATGAAGCAGACAAAGTTTCTTTTAAACTTTTATCATCATCAAGTCAGCTTTAAGATCTTGGACTAAATAAAATTACTACTACTACTACAAGTCAAAAAAAATTTTCTTTCTCCGATGTGCCGTAACCGAGAATTCTGGTGCATGGCGAAAGCCCTGAAGCTAAAAAATAGTCTTAACAAAAACGCAAAATAAGTTTTGATTCTGTTAAAAGCGTTTTACTTAAAAAGTGTCTGAGCGTTAACTAATTTCTTGATATTTTGCTAGACGTTATCGGTCATGGCGAATCTAATGAACATGTGCGGGCCATGTGCGACACATGCGTGCGCTTATGCAAAAAAGCCGTTTTTTTCCTATAGGCCTTCTGGAAAACTCGCTAAAAAATTGAGGAAAACCTATCCTATCAATACACGAATTATGCCAGTAGAAAGTAGACACTTTGGGCTATCCAACCATGTATTTTTCTCAAAATCAATATTTTTGACGCAAATCGGCATTTGTCACAGAGCGGAGAGGACCTTAAAAAGCAGTTTAAAAACCAAAATTTCTTTAGGCACCGATCAATTTCCTATCAAACTTTTAAAGCTTAGTGCTGATGTAATTTCTCCTCAGTCATATCTTCTCTCTTTGTCTTTCGACCGGTGTGTTTCCTTTTCCCCGGAACGAAGCTATTAGACATGCCATACATAAGAAAGAAAGTAAGTTACTCGTCAAAAACTATCATATAATAGCTTACTGTGTGTGTGTTTGAGAGTGAACTCATTTTGTTATCATAACACCAGGAAAAACATGGTCTCAGCTGGGAATCGAACTCAGGATCTTTGGTTTGCCGTTCCAAAGCACTAACCACTGAACCAGCATTAACCATATTATTCATCTTGTACGTTATGAATATCTTTATAGTATGAAATTGTTAATTTGTAATGACCAGCGGCCCTTGATGGTAGTTTAGCCTACTGTTAAAGAGTCGTGTATGTCCGTAACCTTTAACGCGTCGCGACCTTAATTCACCGTACCAAAGCTCTAACCACTGAGCTACTGAGACCCAGCCTTAAAAAATCACCATACCTGCAGAACAAATACTGAACACGCAAATAAACCTGTACAAGTTTCGATCTCATTTCATGCATGCTATTGTTTTTTCTGAGAAACGAGGTAGTAAAAATTGTTACGTAGTGTTTTATACGTAACTTGTATCCTTCTTTGTGTCAGTGCCAACAATGAATTATGTTTTCATATTTTATTAACAAAGATATTTACATCAGAGAATGTTGACATTGCGTCAGCGAATG